AAGGTGCAACAGATGAAACTGATGAGGTCAATCTTCAGGTGCTGTGCTTGACTGGAGAAGGAGTGCCCTTAACCGTCCCTCGCTCCATGCTTGGGTATGACATGCGCAAATTGGTGTCAGAGAAGCTTCCATGCAAGCCAGGCGCAAAGCTCGCCGTGCATCACATGAATCGAAAGCTAACCTTTGATCAAAGCTTGGGAGAGCAAGGGATTGCTGTCAAATCGGCAATGCTGTCCTGCACTTACATACCAACGAATGTGTACACTGCGTGGAGTTATGTTTGTGGCCTCCCAACCTGTGAGAGAGATTTTGTGCTAGAAGGCGTTACACGACTTGAGGGCGCCATGCTTGGAGAGTATTTACATCATCTCCCCGGCAGCCTCGCAAGCTTGAGTTTTGGCGATGACTTTAACACAAGCCTGGAGCGGGTGACCTTGCCATCAAGTCTTCAAAGCTTGAAGTTTGGCAATAATTTCAACCAAAGCCTGGAGCGGGTGACCTTGCCATCAAGCCTTCAAACCTTGAGTTTTGGCATTACGTTCAACCAAAGCCTGGAGCGGGTGACCCTGCCATCGAGTCTTCAAAGTTTGACGTTTGGCTGTGGATTCAATCAAAGCCTGGAGAGGGTGACCTTGCCATCGAATCTTCAAAGCTTGAGTTTTGGCGACAATTTCAATCAAAGCCTGGAGAGGGTGGCCTTGCCATCAAATCTTCAAAGCTTGATTTTTGGCTATGTGTTTAATCAAAGCCTGGAGCGGGTGACCCTGCCATGGAGTCTTCAAAGTCTGACTCTTGGCTGTGGTTTTAACCAAAGCCTGGAGAAGGTGTCCTTGCCATCAAGTCTCCAAAGCTTGAATTTGGGCGATAATTTCAACCAAAGCCTGGGGCGGGTGACCTTGCCATCCAGTCTTCAAACCTTGGGGTCTGGGCATAGCTTCAACCAAAGCACGGAGCAGGTCACTTTGCCATCGAGTCTGCAAAGCTTGAGTTTTGGAGATGGGTTCAACCAAATCCTGGAGCAGGTGACCTTGCCATCGAGTCTTCAAAACTTGGCTTTTGGCGAAAAATTCAACCAAAGCCTGAAGCGGGTGACCCTGCCATCGAGTCTTCAAAGTTTGACTTTTGGCCGTGAGTTCAACCAAAGTCTGGAGCGGGTGACCTTGCCGTCAAGTCTTCAAAGTTTACGTTTTGGATGGCTATACAACCAAAGCCTGGAGGGAGTCATATTGCCATCCAGTCTTCAAAATTTGGCTTTTGGCTTTGTGTTCAATCAAAGCCTGGAGCGGGTGGCCTTGCCATCGAATCTTCAAACCTTGAGTTTTGGCAATATGTTCAATCAAAGCCTGGAGCGGGTGACCTTGCCATCAAGTCTCCAAAGCTTGAATTTTGGCCATAATTTCAACCAAAGCCTGGAGCGGGTGACCTTGCCATCAAGCCTTCAAACATTGAGTTTTGACATTATGTTCAACCAAAGCCTGGAGCGGGTGACCCTGCCATCGAGTCTTCAAAGTTTGACGTTTGGCTGTGGGTTCAATCAAAGCCTGGAGCGGGTGGCCTTGCCATCGAATCTTCAAACCTTGAGTATTGGCAATGGCTTTAACACAAGCCTGGAGCGGGTGACCTGGCCATCAAGTCTCCAAAGCTTGAATTTTGGCGATAATTTCAACCAAAGCCTGGAGCGGGTGACATTGCCATCAAGCCTTCAAACCTTGAGTTTTGGCATTATGTTCAACCAAAGCCTGGAGCGGGTGACCTTGCCATCAAGCCTTCAAACCTTGAGTTTTGGCTATGTGTTTAATCAAAGCCTGGAGCGGGTGACCCTGCCATCGAGTCTTCAAAGTCTGACTCTTGGCTGTGGGTTTAACCAAAGCCTGGAGAAGGTGTCCTTGCCATCAAGCCTTCAAAGCTTCAGGGCTGGCCGTTCATCACGCAGGGTTTTTGTTAGTTCAGCAGGTTGTGCTTCGTTTGATTGATGGAGATATATATTTCCAAGGGAAAAGGTGTGTGTTCACAGGGATACCGTATGGTTCTTGCATGCTAGGGGCAACCTGAACGGGTTTTCCTTGAGCAGTCAGTCGGTGAACACCCTCCATGTTTGCAGTGAAAACGTGGAACCTGTATTTAATTATCGGATTAATTTTATTATATATATTTGATATTCGGATTCTTTTTGGGTGTACTATTGTTACTCATAATATTAAACTATATGCTATCCTATTATATGCACATGCTATTGCGCTGGAATGATGATTCATCAGGCCTGGTCCTTCTTTTCAGATCAGGGAGATTTGATATACAACCCGTTGCAGATGGTCAAGGGCATTGTTTTCACCTGTCTTCTTGCTGATCTTATGAGTTGACCCTCGTTTGTTGTTTTGTTGTTCCACTGGATGACTGAAAAAAAAAGGCGAACATAGCATACCCAAGAATTTCCGACAAAACATTACCTCATCCAAGCTTTGAAGATTTCTGGTTATTTTTATATCAATGTGGGATGCAGTGATGAGTGTGGGGATACACTATTGTGTCCGCAGACTCCAACATAATTGTGAACCTTTGGAAATGATGGAGGGGTACAGTATTGTGACCACAGGATTTTGGGGTAAGTTTTTTCAGTTTTTTTTTGGCTATTTTTTTTTCATTTATATAATTGGTAATTTTGATGTACAGTTTTTTAAAGGAAAATATGTATATATGTATATATTATTTTTCAATTTTTAATTTAACAATGTAAACATTACATTGAAAAAATATATTCAATTGTTAATTTAACAACTTAAACATTACATTAAAAATTTTGTTTTTTATATATTCAATTTTTAATTTAACAATTTAAACATTGTATTTTTTAAACAATATAATTAATATAATTATAACTGATCCTAAGTTGTAGGGGGTTGGGTTCACTATTGTGTCAGGGTTCACTATTGTGTCTTGTGTCAGCTTGTTCCTTTTTTTGTTTTCAAACATGTTAAAGATTTTTTCTTTTATTTTCTTAGTTTTTTTCACTTGATCATTTGAAATTTCCAAATGTCCTTCCACAGAAAATTATAACCAGATCCACAATAGTATGGTTTGTTTGGGGGGTACACTATTGTGTCCCAGCTGCTTCCTGAGGTGATTTTTTCAACCATTTCCTTTACCTTTTCCTTTGCTAAAGTTTTTCCTTTTAATTAATTACTTTCTTAGTTTCTTTCATTTGAAATTCCCAGGAATGCCCAATTTCCCAAAATATATGATGCCTTATTAAAACCCAAATAAAAAACATCACTCAAACAATTTTTCAAGGGGGTAGTCCATGAGCAACCCTGATCCACAATAGTATGGTTTGTTTGGGGGGTACACTATTGTGTCCAGCTGCTTCCTGAGGTGATTTTTTTTTCAACCACTTCCTTTACCTTTTCCTTTGCTAAAGCTTTTTTCTTTTATTGTATTTCTACCCACAGGCACCTTGTGTTGCCCAAGCCCAGAATAGCATAAATTTCATGGATTTTTTGTTCACACTATACATCTCATATAAATTCTCCCACCCCCGTTAAACTCTTACATTCATTGAAGATCTTCAATAAGGGTTTAATTCTCCCAACCCCGTTAAACTCTTACATTCATTGAAGATCTTCAATAAGGGTTTAATTCTCCCACCCCCGTTAAACTCTTACAAGATACTCAATAAGGGTCTAATTCTCCCACCCCCGTTAAACTCTTACATTCATTGAAGATCTTCAATAAGGGTTTAATTCTCCCACCCCAGTTAGACTCATCATCATCATCATCATCATCATCATGATGATCAACATGCCGGGAACGTCCCTGTAAATTTCCGGGCAACACAAGGCGCCTGGCCGTATTTCTATGGTATTACTATTGGATTTCTATGGAATTCTTATGGGAGTTCCATTGGATTCCTATGGGATTTCTATGGTATTTCTATGATGTTTCTATGATATTTCTATGGGGTTTCTATTGGATTCCTATGGAATTTCTATTCGGTTCCTGTGGGATTTCCAAGGTATTTCCATGATGTTTCTATGATATTTCTATGGGATTATTATTGGAATTCTGATGGGATTTCTTTGAGGTTCCTATGCTATTCCATGTTATTTCTATGATCTTTCTATGGGATTTCTGTGGGATTCCTATGCTATTCCATGTTATTTCTATGATCTTTCTATGGGATTTCTGTGGGATTCCTCTGGGATTTCCATGATATTTCTATGATCTTTCTATGGGATTACTATGGGATGTCAATTGAAAGTAAGTTGAAATCAATTGAAAGTAAGTTGAAATCAAGTGAAAGTAAATTGAAATCAATTGAAAGTAATTAAATTGAAATAAATGGAAATCAATTGAAAATAAACTGAAAGTAAATTGAAATCAAGTGAAAGTAAATTGAAATTAATTGAAATCAATTGAAAGTAATTAAATTGAAATAAATTGAAAACAATTGAAAATAAACTGAAAGTAAATTGAAATCAATTGAAAGGAAATTGAAATCAATTGAAAGTAAATTGAAATAAATTGAAATCAATTGAAAGTAAACTGAAAGCACAGTAAATTGAAATCAATTGAAAGTAAATTGAAATCAATTGAAAGTAAACTGAAAGCAATTCAAAGTAAATTGAAAGTAAATTGAAATCAGTTCAAAGTAAATTGAAAGCAATTCAAAGTAAATTGAAATCAGAAATCAATTGAAATCAACTCAAGGTAAATTGAAATCAATTCAAAGTAAATTGAAATCAATTCAAAGTAAATTGAAGTCAGTTGAAAGTAAATTGAAATCAATTGAAATCTATCATTTTTTTGATTCCACACTATTGTGTACCCGGTCCCTTGACATCTCCACACTATTTTGTACCCTAAATGTGTTGAGGGGGGGAGGGGGGGCCTCCCCACACTAACCTGTATCCGACATTATATCTATCTAAGTTCAATATAAATTCATGATGTCTGATGGAAATTGATTGACATATCCCCAGCAAGTCTGGTGCCAAGCTGCCCAGGCCGCCCGTGTGGCGTTGGAAACCTCCCTGAAGCGCCGGAACCTTCGATGCAGCTGGGATCGTTGGGTGGAAGCCTGGCGCTTGTCCGGAGACCTGGTGGAAGATCGGCCTGGGGAGCACCTGGGGAGTTAAGCTGAAAAGATTGGATAGTGGGCACAGAATTTTGACACAGAATTTTGATGCTGGATGGTTTGGAATCAACGGAGGAACTGATTTTTGAGACTTAAGCTAGAAAACTGGGGATTTCAACGACAAAAGTAGGATTTTGGCAACAGGCATTGGAAAGGTTGGGACTTGAACGACAAAGGTTGGGAACTTGGGAACAAACCAATAATATTTTGCCGGTTTTAGCAAACAACATCAAGGAATATTCAGGATTTGAACAGCCAAAATGGTCATCCAACCAACAGAAATGGGTGATTTTAGTCATCACAAATATAGCCGGGATGATTGGGAGGGTTGGAGAACATAGAGACCTTACATGACTTCCCATTGTGTTAATTGCGGAGGGAACGTAAAGCATGATGTGAATCAAACATGATGACGAGGCAAACAGGAATGATTGAAAGGTATGGTTTCGTTCTGATTTGTATGTAGCCCTGGGTCCTAGATGAAATTTGCTATATTTCCTTCAAGTTGGCACTGTTGCCAGTAGGTTTGTTTCCACGGCTCAGTGGTTGGAAACAATGGCTTTGCTCGCTACGATTTTCCCATCCCTCTTCAGAGAAGAGGTTGAGAACCCCAGATGGGCTGGACATGATGACGTCCTAAACCATATCTGTGAACTTGTTTTGGAGTGAACTGCCATTGCAGGGGAGTTTTCAGAATCAATGAATCAATGGTTAAATCTATTGTACGTAATCCACATGACATGATATTCTTACTGACGTTGTACTTCACATGATTCTGCCCACGAAGTCCATCATGTCACCACCAACCCGTGGTTAAACCAACCTATTTGTCGGGTAACATTGACCAGCCATTTCTCTGCTGGAGTGGCTGGCTAGAGTCTTTCTTACAGTTTGTTTTATGGGCAAGGTCTACATATAATGGTGTGTTGTTGGTATTCCTGTGCCAGTTTATTGGTATATCCCAAAGGTTAGTTGTAGCTTCTTCCGTTAGCTCTTGTAGATCCAGTCCCAATGTTATCTCTTAGACTACCATATTTTGTGCATTAGTGTGGTAGACCCAAGAATGCAGTAGCCCTCAGGTAGTTAGGGCTATAACCCCCAAAATTGTCAATGGTGGATGGTTTTGTCGGTGTTTGCCACATTGCTTCAACACCACAGGAAATGGCTAACCGGCTAACCAACAATGGTGATTTAACTAGCCAGAGTTAGCATGCAACCGACAAGAATGGTATGTTATGTTTATCCCAAGAAGATGAGGAATGACCAGGTGTTCAAAACTCGTGTTGGTCGATGATTTGGTTGGCGAGTTGCATACTATCCAATAGATTGGGGATGATTGGAGTGTGTCATCATCCATAAGCCGTGAATTCATATATTAACCAACCAGTGTAATGGGATGGGGTCTGAGCAAATTCCCCCAGCACCGATCAGGGACAGCACAGAACGCATGCTTCAAACACAAAAGGAAGAAGCCACACGGCAGGCCTGTTCTGGGATCGGCTGAGAATATGAACTGATCGCAGGGGATAAAAATATGGATGGGTTTCACAAACATGGAGGTTAAAATCCGGGATGGATCAGGATGGAAGGGGGTATCCTATATTTCAATATATTATAATATATAATTCAAACAACCCAATTTGCAATCCACAACCTGAAGTGGTTTTTACGCATCCTTACTCCACCGATTTAAACATGTCACGTACATATGAAACACTTATACACTCGGATGCACATCCGAGCAGGAGCACGGCGGCGGTGGCTTGAACCGATAAAATTATGAGATTCAGCAGCAAATACTTTGGATGTTGAAGACGAGATAACCAGATAGATAGACGGTCAATGGATTGATAGGTCCATAGATAGATGGATGTACTCCCAGGTAATTAACAATGGCTAGCAAGGGAAATCATCCTGAAGCCACCCGACATTGGTTGTTGAATTCATTGGGTGTGTCTGAAAACAGGGTGCCCCTTAAAAATCCAATGGTTGATCCCACATGTTTTCAGACACCCTAAATATAAATTCAATTTGACGAACTATCTCTCACTGTACCCCCATGCATATCCCATTAACTCTTTTCTCATGTTATATTCAAATTATATATAATTATAATTATATATATATATATATAATGATAATGTCACTGTTCACTCCAACAGATGCATGTTTTTTGTTGGTTGGATCACAACCCTGGTTCCAGTTCCAGGAGCGTCAGCTGAAAGCTGGAGCGGCTCGAAGGTTGCTGCAAGATCAGACAGGTGCACCGGTCCACCTGTAGCAAGCCTGCGGAGTGCAGCTGCAAACCTGGGGAGTAAGTCAGCAAACATGGTGTTTTTGTTTACCCAGGAAAGATGGAGTATTCATCCATTGAGACAGGACTTATAAGCCGAGACTGGTGGTACCTCAAATATGACTCTTTGCATCAAGGACAAACATTCGCCGGTTCAATTCCACGCGTTGTAAGTTTCATGTCTTGTCATCAGAGGTGCAGATGGTACAATAATCTGACTTGTGTTATTGTTGCGCTTTGTTTTTTTGGATATCACGCTGTAAGATATGGTAAGTAACATGCGACACAAGCAGCATGCAGAGGTAGTCTTGGAGCCAGTACTGTTTCAGTGTTCCGACACTTGACCTTGTTATTTTTGTTTGACAGAATACAATCATGGTTTGCTTGAAAAATAAAGAAATATTATGAATTATTATATACACGTCCCATAGAATTATGTTTTACCATCAAGTGTGATCAACTGTGATTATATATGATTATATACTATTTAAATCAGTTTTTAAATCAGTGGTGAATATTCAACCATTAAATCATTCCACAATGAATATTTTCCAGGTTGGATATTCACCAGTTTAAATGAATATTCAACCATTAAATCAACCATTACTCATGATTTTCCAGCCTTTCTCCAGGCTTCTTCACCAAGTTTGTCCTTCACTGTTGGTGCACAGCAGCTCGCGGGGGACCAAGAGGGGAGCTGCAGGGATGGGAAATCTCCATTGAGGGGCAAACCATGTATATATAAATGGCTACTGATAATATATATATATATATAACATTTTAAGACTATATAATATCACGTATGTGTATATATATATATTATATAAATGTATATATATATATGCATTATATAAATGCATATATATATAGTTATATATATATATATATTTATTTACTCTTTATATACATATATAATATTTATATATATATAATATTTATATTTACCTTTAAGCAGGGAAAATGTTCATTGCTATGCTACATGACCGGAGGGTGAAGCCTTTGCGAAGGGCCTGGCCATTGGATGATTTTCCCATTCAGGGACCACTGCTATAGGAAACAATCTTGTCACTCTAACAGTTCGGCACCCCAAAAAAGATTGTAATAATAATGTATGTAAAATACATACATGTATTGTGTACGTACATTACTATGTACATGATGTTACATGACTATATATTGTGTATTCAGCTTGTACAATACATGCACAAATTCATTCCGGTGCATGCCTTGGGTAATACTATAAGGACGGCAATATTTTGTCTCAGCGCTTTTGATCTGCCTTCCGTGCTGTACTCAATGTATAAGACATGTCTTCTACCCATGGTGATTTACCCATATATAGATGCCCATTTGGTTCACATATGCCTTTGTATCCCCATACTATTCCCATACGAAACTACCATTTGCTTCGCAAAGTCACCATTTCAGATGGTTCAACATGCTTCAGCCCTTGTTTTTCCTTTATTTTTGGCAACTTCTCTGCAATTCTCCACGATATGCGGCGCCAGCACAGGGCCAGGGCAAGCGATGACTTACAGTATTGGTTATACATTGGTTATACCATGGTACAATGGTACACCCCCCAAATGGCAATTCGAATAGGGAAAATGATGATTCATCTTGGACTTTCCTCTGCTGTGTGTTTTTTTTGGCTGGAGCGAAAGGTATATAATTAATTTCAATACCAAAACATTAAAGAACACCTTGAAGTCCCATTCAAATCCCTGTTTGTTGATAGCCAATTCACCGTTTTTGATTGATGATTATATAAATCCAACTGATTGATTGTTTTACCGTTTTTATCCATCTTCCTGATATTTAATTCACATGTTTGATGGTTAAATCATGTCAAGTCCCAATTTTTGCCTATCTTATTCATATTAGATCCAATTTGATTTGGTACTTACATCTCATTATATAAACCCCATCCAACTTTGGGGCAGAAAGAAATCCACAAACTGTGTGGATCCTTCGGCAAGGCTTGGATGTCTCCACCAAGCGGCGCTTAGTGCTGAACGCCTGGCATGAGACCACCGTCATGGCGCAGCAGGCCCTCGAAAGATTGGATGTGATACTCGTGTTTGGATACAATGGGGTCATATAACCTTGGCAAAAAAAAGGCCACCTAAATCACCCAAAGTCCAAGATTCAAGATATTCAAATCTGCAGTTTGAAGATTTTCGGAGCAAAACTTTGCAACTTTTTTGGGTGCAGTTCTTGCATACCATGCTATCACCAAGGTGATTTTTAAGCCCCCATGAGACACTTTTTCAGTGGAGCCGCCAGGTCAGACAACAGAAAGCCTGTGCTCGTGAGGGCAGCCGGCGACTGGCCACAGGCACGCGGATTGTAGCTGCGGATATATCAGCAAAGAAAACAAACATTGTTTTATAGTGATTATAATGGTTAGCGATAAGCTATGTTTGAATTTGTTTCTTGCGAACTCAAAACACTTGATTGGTAAAAAGGCAGAATTGGGTAAGAAGACAAGGAAACAGAAATGGAATGGGAACTGCAGGAGTGTCATTGCTCATTCAGGTATAGTATGGGTCATTATTATGTACTCCAAAAAGCGGATGATTACAGGCACTCTAAGACTCAAAGCAAATGGTTGCCTGTCAGAATAGTCAAGTTGGCCTTGATTTTCCATCCCCGCTTTGCTCGGATCAGCCCAAGGGAGTTCTACTTGTTTGTCCAAAAGAAATAGTATCCGGATCAATGGTATCCCTCCAAAGTACACTTCTTTCGGAGGTTCGGGGAGGGATTTTCAGTTGTGAACCTCCACTTGTTTCAGTTGTGTTGGTTGCCCGGCTGGATGTTCATCTCACCCCCGGATCAATGAAGCTTTTGGCTTGTTTACCTGGGACTGTGCAGAATTAAACCAGCAGTTGATCACTTTTTGGAGATGGGAGTCCTGAATTTTATTCAATCAGTGTCCATTAAATCCAGGGTTGACATTCGAAAGGCACGAATCACTCAGTTTGAAAGAGGAGAACCATTGTCATAAATGAGGGACTTGGTGACCGGATCTATAGTTGATGTTTCCTCGTTTTTTTATCGTATTTTCTCTTTTCTTGGATGGTGATTCCACAACCAGCAACCAGACCTCGTGCTTGGGCTTGGATGTGAATCTCAGATTTCACTGTCAACATTCCATTCAAAACAGGGGAAACACCATATGTCAAGTGAGATGTATATCCACAGCAATTATCCGAGCCATACGAATGTGAACCTGTTGATCAGTCAACATCCACTTTAACTGATTCATACTGATTCCTTTTCAAACATCCCATGTATCATCCAACTCCGAATCCAATTACCCTCTGGTACTTGAACATAGCAATGTAACATGATCATGATATACCATGAAGATTGTCAAAGGGCAAATGAACTTTACATAGCGATGGCTTCCATATCAAACTCTTCAATTAACACCTATAGGCACATATTAATGTCCATCAATATTCCAATTGCATCCTTACTGATAAACATGATATCACCATTGGATTCCCATTAATCCCTATACATTCCATCACTCTTCCCATGATATCTCCACAGTAATCCCTATGAAATTCCCTTGTTTTCCCGATAAAATGGGTGAAATCCTGATGAAATCTCCAAGCCCATTGGAAATCCTCGGCTCTCACCAGGTCTGCTGCGGTTCCTGGATGGAAGCCTGACTCCGGCTGCCGAGCTCTTGCTGCGCAGTGCATGGCAATCGCTGGGGGACCCGGGGCCGCCCTGGGGCCCGTGGGTGATGGAAGGCTAAACTGCCATTCCCAGTGGAAACACAAAAAATATAAACATGTGGTGGTTTCATGAGTTTTCTCCACACATCTTTGTGTGCAGTTCTTGCTTTTCTGGTGTGCGCTCCCGTCAGCTCCCGTCCGCCTTCTCCTGGCCTCTTCACACACCTCCTTCACTCACAACTCGTTCACACACCCCGCTTTCACACAACTCCTTCACACCACACACACACACACATTGTCACATACAACTCTTTCATCTACAACTCTTTCACACACAACATTTGTTTCACACACTGTGGGTTATTGGTTGGTAGATTTTTTGAGTGATGTTGATGTCGTCGCCAAATGTCCTGAGTCACCTTCAAAATCAAGCACACGGAAATCTGCAAATCTGAAACTGTGAAAACCTTTCTACATATACCTAAACCTGACTTGGCGTGCCAAGTCCATATCACAGAATATCATAGCCGTCTTCGTTGGCTGCAGAACTATGACATTCCCTGCAGCCCCCTGCATCATGAATGTTAACCCGTTTGTTATAACGTTGTACGCACACACTCTCTCAGTTTGTCAAACACTCACACAAAACTCTTTCACACACAATTTTTAGTCACACACACGCACAACATTGTCACACACTTACACAATTTTGTCACACAGAACTCTTTCACACACATTCTTTCACACACACGCACAGCATTCCCACGCAAAACTCTTTCACATGCAAGAGTCATGGTGGCACTTCGTGAGATTCATGGTGCTTTAGTGTGGCAGGCTTGGTACTTGGGGCACTGAACTGGGTGCAGTGGCGCTTGACCGCCGCCGTGACGCCGCGGTTATCGCGGGTGGTGATATTACTAAGTCAGTTAATAATTGTTGGTGTCATTATTTGCTGCAGAAAGTAAATTTAAGTTGAACAAATGTTTGAATTTGTTTATATTGTTTTTTAAACTTGTTTAATTTGCAATGAATTAACGCCAATAAGAGTATTGGAAACAATGACACGTTGGATATTGATGAACCTGAATTAATGGTGATGTATCGTATCATGGAATTTGATGAACAATGTAGAAGAGCACCACGAGCATTGCAAAAACATCATGCATCAAAACAATTTGAAGAATGTAAACAAAAAACATGATCCATGGGATGATGACACAGATCACTCTGGGAGAGGGTCCGGACGCCAGACGTCTGAGAACATTCGCGGGAGAGACGTTCAAAGGGGTTGGGACGCGAGCGATGGGCACACAAACACCCTGAGGAGCAAGTATGGGGTCACTGGTTGAGCACTTCACTTGCTGCCTGCCAGCAGTGAGCATCATGAAGTGCGTCCAACGGAGAGGGGTTCTTTCCAGGGGCTGCCAGATCCCATCGCCTTTGCAAAGTACCTGCCAGTTGAATACGTGCTGTCAAGTGGTACTCACAATGGTACCTTTGGATATGCTGCAACTGGATGTCCGTCTGGGGGCTGATCTCCGTGAAGTGGAACCAGTTTCGTCCGGGCAGGATGAACCCAGACCACCAGATTATTAAAACATATTAAAACTATGAGTACGAGGTTCTTCAAACAGCGATGATTCCACCTACTGTGTAAGTGGTATAACTCCCATGTTAATCCGCCGGAAATTCAAGAGACAAAACAACAACAGATTAGGGTCAGCAATCGCGCTTGGTCCGTGGTTGTTTCGGGTATGGTATTTGGTACAACCAAAACAGGGACAAAACCCAAAATGCCGGGGATACCAAACGTTTCAGGATGGTCATTCCTGTGATAAGCTTATTAGTGATCACTGGGATGGTCATTGAAGTTGTATTTTCAATGTTGACCCATACCCTTCGTATTAGGATCAAGCAAGGATGGAATTTCACGTTTTAAACCTTTTTTTAAAAAACAAGTTGGCCATATTTTGCCAAATTGTTCTGGGTCAACATCGTTTAATCCAGATGTTTTCATGGATTTTGGATGGTCAAATCTCTCATAATACATTGGGTGTTTAGCCCTTGCCTTCAAGTCGACCTGAAATTAGTAAATGGTGCCCATTGTACGCCCTTTCGACTTGGGATATTATGTGGGGAAAAAACGATATAAGCCTGCGATCACCATCTAGCTTCGGGACAGACCCAAATGATTGACTATGGGATGTTACAAAAAATGATAGAAACGATTTATTTGTTTTTTTGGAAATAAAGAGACTAATAGGGATGTTAGTAGAAATGATTCTACAAAATGATTTTCTGGGACTGTCATTTACGCTACGGGGTGTTTGATTTTGACCTATCGCCACTTTCCAGGTGGCTTTGTGTGGCGACCAGTGGTCAGGCAGACGAGAGAGGGCGGGACGCTTGGGGTGCGATAAGACGGGAAAATCTATGGGACCAGTCCAGGCCTTAATGCGCATGTGACATTTCAATATATAATATAATAATGATTAATAATTATTAGTAACATATATATATGTATGTATGTATTTCTGCCCAGCTGAGTTACTACCAGTACAGTAGTAGATCTTTCTGAGGACACCCTTGAAACCTGCCACTCCCAAAGATTGGAGTTGGAAGATGATTTTTGCTGGATTCCTGGCCATTTTTGGTTATCCAAAGGCCTTCAGATAGAAGATGCAGTGGTACGATGTACCAATGAAACAATGCAACCCTAATAATCCGGGTTCTACCACTATTCCATCATGGGTGAATAGATGTGGTATGAATATAATTAGTCGGTATGAAGGTGCTGGAAATAAAACCATGATTAGTCTTTTGAGACCAGTTATGAGATGTTGTAAGTGATAGGTCACAACTTCCATGCCACCAGCATTGGCAAATCCTGCTTTGACTGGGCTGGGTGGACCCGTGCATTCCCTGGGGTCATGATCGGTCGTGGGTCCTTCAATTATTCATTCTGCAGCATTTACGCTTTCGACCCAGGGTAGTACATGAGACATGACTGACTAAGTCCTTGACAATCCTTGACACAGTGCAACAAGTTCAACAATTTACAGTAACTGGGTACCAGTAGAGAAAACTCATGAAAACTCCACATGCACATAGCCCAAATGCACTCCATTTGAGTATCTATACCATAGGGGTTCCTCTATATATATACATTATAATACATTATACATATATATATATATATGTATATATTAAGCTAGACTTCCATGATTAACCTTTACGCTAAGTGAAGAGCAGAGAAACACATACTTTCTTGCAGAGTAAAGCGAGAAAGGATCTCTGGTAGAAGTTGCGAGAAAGCAACAGCGGTGGTGTTGAGCAAAATATCCAGTTGGACCATCCGAGCGCAACAAAAGACAGGAAAACCAATATCAGTATTTCAGACAAGGTCTGAAGAGAGCAACAGTTCAGAATCGAAATGAACAGAAAAGGAGAGAAGACTGGGAATTCAAGATCCCTGCCCAGAAAACTGGGCAGTAGAGGTTTCGAGGGAATAAAGAGTGTGAGACAAGAGGCTAAGAAAAGCCCTGCTCGGAGACGGGGCAATGGAAGAGGCAGCGATTCCAGCGATAGAAACGGCTATGAGACGACTTCACAGTGGAGCGAAAAATGGGACTCCAACTCCAGCTGGAACCGTTGGGATGCGCCCAACCTGGACGCGAACAACTCCAGAGATGATTGGAGAACTTCCGATACTCAGAGCTGGACCTGGCACGCTTCCGACACATCAAATGGACATCAACATGTTAGCCGTATCTGTGAGTATTTCCAAAGTGGCCAATGTCACTGGGGAAACTCCTGCTATTTTTCCCACGACTGGAGCGCTGACGCGGGCATCGTCTTCCTGTTAGCCCCGGAGGCCTCCGACGTGCTGATGCCGCCCTGGCGCGTGGCCACGGAGCTGAGCAGCGAGGGCACAGGGCCCATGCGCGTGCGCATCGTGGGGGACACGGAAGACCTGGGCCTGGCGGAGGGGCAATGGGATCCCAATCTGGGCATTGATCTTTGCTGGGAAGGAGATTGGGTGAATGGAGGGATGAAGCTTCATAACCAATGTTTTTTTTTTTTATGAAGGGATGTTTTATGGTAAACAAAAAATACATATCTATTAAATATATCGTTAAATAATATATACAGTACTATATTACATAATATTATATATATAATATTACATTATTATATTATTTTTATGTTTAAATTATATGTGTCTTTATATTTATATTATATTATTTTGTATTATAGGATGGTATAATGTATTATATTATATTATATTTTATTGATTTGTTTAATATTATATTATATTTTACTATATCATATGTTGTATTATAGTTTTTCTATATCATATCATATTATATTATATTGTATTATATCGTTAAATAATATATACAGTACTATATTACATAATATTATATATATAATATTACATTATTATATTATTTTTATGTTAAAATTATATGTGTCTTTATATTTATATTATATTATTTTGTATTATAGGATGGTATACTGTATTATATTATTTTATTTTTTATTTGTTTATTATTATATTATATTTTACTGTATCATATGTTTTATTATATATATTAAATTATATTATATTATATTTTATTTTTAAATTATTATATTATAAAATATAATATTATATCATTTTCATTTTTATTATTTGTTATTATATTATATATTACATGTGTTATATATATATATTGTCATAATTATTCATTTCAGTTTTTTCTTTAGATTTATACATATATATATATATACATGGTTGTGTTTTATTTGCATATATATATACTATGTATACGTCTAATACAAGTATTATGTATGCATCTCATTTTATGTACATTTAATATATATATATATATATTAAAATGTATACATCTAATATGAATATTATATATATACATAATTGTGACAATACTATGTATATATATATATATATATATGTTTTCTGGTGTGACAACATTTTGCAATATGTGATGATGGATGGTGATGGATGATGATGGACGATGATGGATGCTGGTGGACGGTGGATGATGATGAATGATGACGGGCATATACTGTATAGTCGTATACATGGGGGAGGCAGACTGGCCATTTTTGGTGCAGGTGCTTAATTGGGAGGAGCGGATTTTCACATATGGTCATTCATGCTCACGGGTAAAGCGGTAAACCCAGAAATCACCCAAATTATCACTGTTGTGGTAAAGGAAGATCGAACAATCATATGGTGACCATGGTTTTCACATGGTTTCACCGCCAGGAGATGGTTGGAGATCCATGGTGATTCCACTGGAGCCTGAGAGCATCTTCCATTTCTGCGTGGTGCGAGTGGATCAACCAGAGAGTCACCCTGGACTCCTGCAGGGCTGGCGGCGATGGGAAATGCATGAAGCACGACATTTCACCTGGAGCCAGACCCTTGGTATCCTGATAGGTTGCTGATGGGTTTCGAATATGTTCGAATCAATAAACATTATGATTAAATCATCTAAAACGGGTATGTATAGTGTATATGTATATATATATATGTATGACCAATGATCCGGCTGATGGTTTCAAACCGTTTTTTTCCACCATATTTTAGGGTGATGATCTCCATTGACGTAGATATTGTTCAGGAGGTTGAACCGCTCGTCTCATTCCTCCCACGCCCTTGAGATCCGGCTTTGCGATTTATTGTTTCATCACCAGGTTACATGTTTATGGGTAAACAAACATCATGTAATCTTCTGGCACTTTTTGCTGGCCACTGCCAGATGTTGGGAAAACAAAACACTTTTCACAACCCATCCAAAAACCATGTTACTACCATATTCCACTCGGAAAACCACCCAGATGTTCATCCATGTTCGTCGATATTTTCTTTGATTTTTCTTCACCACTTGAATTAAGACAGTTGACCACCATTTTACATAATTTTACCACCATTTCATCACCATTTTGCCATCATTTTACCATAATTGTGCCACCGATCTTCAGCATTTTTCCACACATTTCAGCTCAGGAAACATCGGCTCCAAGCTCCAAGTTCCAACGAAATCCTCGAAGTCCACCTGTCCGGACCGCGCTGCGCCCCCAGCAGCCTCCAGGTGCTGCCGCGCCAGGCGGTCACCACTGGCAACAGGCGCTGCCCGTGGCAAGCGCCGGGGATGAAGTGCTACACGTTCGATGCGGAGGGGGGCTTTGTTTTGAAGTACTGCCTGTAACTTGGATGAAAACTTGGGATGACCTGGTTGATACATGGTTGATAGTATGTTTTGTTTGATGAATTTTATATGGGAAACGTCGGAACACCAAAGATTGATGGGATGTTTATGGACGCCGGTGAAGAGCCACAGAGAGTAGTGGCACTAGTGGCCAGACTGAAGAAGTTTGGCCTTGAAGGCCTCATATTTTTTTTGCGGTGGCACCTAGCAAATTGAGTTGAGTGGTGAGATAGGAGTCTCCCAACTGCATGGGGTTAGTGAATTTATTGGGTGCAACAAGAAGTCCGTGGCCCATCCAAGTCTTCCAAGTAGCCAAAATGGATGTTCTGTGCAATACAAGGCGATATTCTCGGGTAGACTTCCTAATGCATAGATTGCCAAACATATTCTTTACATTGGTCTTTTGCCTCCAATTTAGGTACTTGAAACATCCCCTGAAGAAGAGCTTCAGAAACTCGGAAGAAGACCTGTCAAGAAGAGTATTCCCATGGGTTGGTCGTTGGTTGAGATATGACTTTTTTTCTGAACCTATTAAATATCACAGGCCATGGATTACGCGGGTTGCAAAGAGCCATGAGTTCCTCAAAAGCACAGCTGAGGTACTTGCCAGACTGCAGCAGGATGCGACTGGATTTAATCGAGACATGCGGTGTCAATCCCAAAAATGCTTTGTTTTACAATGTTTTACATGTTCAAGAGTGGTCAGATAGTGAAAGACCTTGGGTTCTGAGATGTTCTTGATTCATACTGTAGTTCATCAGTAAATACTAGGACTGGCTGGTGGTTTTACATGTCAATGAATGTCAAGTTTGTTTTGGAATCTTTTGGATGACAAACCTTCCACTTTCGGTCAAAACAAGTCAAAACCTCCGAAGTGGCAAAGGCAAACGGCATCTTCTGTGATGTTTTGATGCTTTGCGCTTATCGTGTTCCCTCGCGTGTTCAAATTGTCACATGTGGTCGCAACACGACCATGGCCAGATTTCCTGATACTTCACTTCTCTGGCAGAGTTGTTGCTAATATATATATATATATGACTTATTGATTACTTATTGACCGTACGTATGTCTCATTGATCTTTGGATACCACCCCTTCATACCTGGATTTTTGCCCTGAGGACGCAGGAATCCCTCACGCTCGTTCTCTTCCTTCATTCGATGCATGCACCGCGGCCGGCATCAGCAGGGATGGATTTTCTGGGCGGAAAAGGGCCCGAAGAGACTGGATGCTAAATGAGTTTTTGTTGGTGATTCTTTGATGTGTGTTTTGGGGGCTGTTTTTGTTTGTATCATGATGTATTGTATATTGTTTGTTATCATGTTTTGGGTGGGTCCGGTCGGTTCGGAAAATTGTTGATAGCAGGTACCCACGTTCTGCATTGCTTCCATCCGTACACTACAGTATATTCAGTCCACCCCAGTATATTCAGCAAATGAGGGGCCAAGGAACTACGAGCAGAGTTTCCGAAGCACATGATAGCTTTAGATGGGAACGATGTGTAAATTACTACCACTTAATATGATAGACCCATGATCTAGTATTAATATGATTATACATGATAGTTCTGACGTGCAACAACTTCACCAGCTAAGACGATCCCAATTTTGGGAGGAATAACTTGACTCATTGACGCCTCCAAGAGGTGGACTCATACCGCCAGCTCGTTGTGAAGTTTCGGTAGCAAAAGTGCTCACAATGGGTTTGCTTTTTGATGTTGAATTGATCATAATTGATCCAGAGGTTTGTGGTTTTTAACTAGTTCTCTTTCACAAAAGTCAATTGTTTTAGGTATGGATTGTTCAACAAGCACCCAGCAACTCATTTTTTTTTCGACAGGGACATCATCCACCAAGGGAAAGCTGGAGGGTGACAATAACCTCTTCTTCGAATCCGACACGCCCCTGCGATTGCTCTTGGACGAAGATGAAGATCGCTGTCCTCAAAGCCTTCGCGAACGGCTGCTTCGGCTGGGCAGCCGTGGAGGGGCTGTAGGACATGGGGACGTCCAAACATGGTCCTGTTTGAACGTTAACCAACTATTGCAGGATATTGCAGGTATCTCCAAGGAGGATGTTCAAAATCCTCAAAAATCCCAAATTTACTTACTATCTTACTAACCTGTGATTTGAATATGATTGCATTGAGTTGGAAATCCCAATACCAAAATGTCACTGTAGCATCCTCAAACAACTCATATCAGATACCGAGCTCACGTTGCGCTTTGATCCGGAGACGTGGACTCTTGTAGTCTACGAGTTGTCTATTCCTTTTCAACAACTACTTACTGTATCGACTTCCCAGACTTTTGTTAGATGTATAAACTTACATAGCACTTAGCGCAAGGTTGGAAAGTCGCTGTAACCTCGATTGAGGAAGTGAGTAGTGCCTCGCTTATTGATTGATTTCTTCACGACGGCTTTACACGCCTAGCTAATCCAACCAGTTATGAGCATACATTTGAGTGAAAAGAATGCTTTGCAAATGAATGTGTTCATTAATATTCAATTACACAGCATATATCATCATCATCATCAACAACAACAACATCATCATCACCATCATCATCACCATCATCATCATCATCAACAATATATATATATAGTGTATATGGTATACAGATTTGTTTATGCATCATTAACCATCATAGGCATTCATGGGTCCATTCCTCGGTTCCAGCCTTGCCTCAAGACTCAAGGTGCATTCTCTTGGCGCCACAGTGCCCCACCGACCGGGAACGAGGAGCAACAAGCTGCTGTGTGTTGTTCTTACCCGTGAACTGTTTTAAACAACGGGATTCAACATGAAAAGATCTGATTTATTCATTAGAATTGTGATTTAAGAGCCATGAAAGACATGTGATTTAACCAATTTAACCATAAACCATGTGATTTAACCGGGGAAGACTTATTTTACCATTAAAGATGGTGATTTCATTACCAGGTACATATATAATGTTGGCTAGCCAATAGCAATACCTTGGCAATAGTAGAAACTTTTTTTCCCCAACTCCAGTTTTATCTCCAATACTAAAAGTCAATTAGCCTAATTTAATTTCACTATTGCCAAAAAACTAATGTTCTGACTTTTCTGACCTTGTCCAGAGGGCATGGTACAGTTTTTCAGATGTTTGGAGAAAGCAAAGTAAAGCAAAACCCTTTTCAAAGCAGCAAGCACTTTTCATTAACAAAAACTCAGATCACACAAACACATCTTTGTCAACCACCATCTTTCACACACCATCTCTCACACACATCTTTGTCAACAACCATCTTTCACACACCATCTTTCACACACCATCTTTCACACACCATCTCTCACACACATCTTTGTCAACCACCATCTTTCACACACCATCTTTTACACACACCATCTTTCACATCATCTTTGCCAACCATCTTTGTCAACCACCATCTTTCACACACCATCTTTCACACACCATCTTTCACACACCATCTTTCACACACCATCTCTCACACACATCTTTGTCAACCACCATCTTTCACACACCATCTTTCACACACCATCTTTCACACACATCTTTGTCAACAACCATCTTTCACACACACCATCTTTCACACACCATCTTTTACACACACCATCTTTCACACACCGTCTCTCACACACCATCTTGGCGACATTCACCTGCGTTTTGCGTGGCAGGCCTGGCACTTACGGCACTGGGCTGGCTCCGGTGGCGCGCTTGGGCTGGGATTAGTCGCCGGTGACGCCGCGGCACTTTGCGTGGCAGGCGTGGCACTTGGCGACATATGCCTTCGTTTCACGTGGCAGGCGTGGCACTTGGCGGCATCTACCTCCACTTTGCATGGCAGGCGTGGCACTTATGGCACTGGGCTGGCACTGGGCTGGCTCTGGTGGCGCGCTTGGGCCCGTTTTGGTCGCCGGTGACGCCGCGGCACTTTGCGTGGCAGGGGGTGGCACTTGGCGGCATCCACCTTCGTTTCACGTGGCAGGCGTGGCACTTAGCGACATCCACCGTCGTTTCGCGTGGCAGGAGTGGCACTTGGTCACATCCACCTTCGTTTTGCGTGGCAGGCGTGGCACTTGGAGACATCCACTTGGGGTTGTATAAAAACCCCGTATCTTTTTTAATTACCCAAAATCACGTTATCGTTTTTTTTTCCTCTTATCGTTTTCTCAGGTGGTGAGCTCCCTGTAGACAAGTCTTGCGTTCTGCGTGGCAGAATTGGGACTTGGTTACTGCCGTTCTGCGTGGCAGAATTGGGACTTGGTTACTGCCACTTGCGTTCTGCGTGGCAGGCGTCACCTGGCGCAGCCTCTTTGTCACATACATCTTTCACACACCATCTTTGTCAGACACTGTCTTTCACACATAACTTTGTCACACACCATCTTTCACCCACAACTTTGTCACACACCATCTTTGACACACCATCTTTCACACACAACTTTGTCACTCACCATCTTTGACGCACCATCTTTCACACAACACTTGGTCACACACCATCTTTCACAACACCATCTTTCACACATAACTTTGTCACACACCATCTTTCACAACACCATCTTTCGCACACAACTTTGTCACGCACCATCTTTCGCCACACCATCTTTCACACACTACTTTGTCACACACGATCTTTCACACACACAACTTTGTCACACGCTCTCTTTCACACACACCATTTTTCACACACAACTTTGTGACACGCTCTCTTTCACACACTACTTTCACACACACCATCTTTCACATACAACTTTGTCACACACAACTTTGTTTTACTTGTCGGTCCTCCACCACATCCTTTGTCTTTCCTTCTTTCCCCGTCCCCGCTACAACATTTGGTGCTCATTATTGGAAGAAGTTGCCTTGTGGGGTTATCCGGTCCTGTAAGAGTCTGGACACAGATCATTAACATAACCAACGTTATCGTTTTTTTTTCCTCTCATCGCTTTTTAGAGTGAAACCTAAAAATGGCTCATGGGGGATCATGGAAGACTAAACAAATAGGCGCGGGGTTTTTACAAACTTCCATATGGGGTATGGGTCAAATTTAGGTACCCCCAAGAATGAATGGTTAATATTGTATTATATATATATACGAAAATCTGTGGTCCCATAGGGCTTAAATTTTGCCCCAGACCCATATAATATCATATCTGTAGTATAGTCTCCCTCTAGTGATGGTCCATTCATCTCCAGCATTCCCAGCGGCGGTGCGAGGAGATGGCGCCGGCATTTGGCTGCGGAAGGGCTGGTATGAGGAGTCTGACTACGATCACCAGGTGGGCTTGGAGATTTCATCAGGATTTCACCAATTTTATTGGGAAAACAAGGGAAATTAGGGATTACTGTGGAGATATGATGGGAATATTGATGGAACATAGGGATTAATGGGAATCTAATGGTGATATCACGTTTATCAGTAAAGTCACAATGGGAAGATTATGGTGATGATATATATATATATATAAATAAATATACAGTATATAATATATATATATATTATATTGTACAATGGTTCGTGTAACCAACAATAGATTCAGCCATCCCCATCATTTCGGTGACCCCGACAATAGATGCTTCAGATTCGCCCTTTTTTCATCGCTGGCTAAAATTCGTTGAAATTGGGGGAAAGACATAAACCCAAACATTCTTTGGGGGTCACCGACCTGAGATTGGGTTGAAATTTGGTGATTAAAACAAACTGGTGTGGTTTTATGGACGGCAACGGAATGGTTTGCCCCTTAAAATAATTCCCAATCATGGTGATTAAGGGGATTCATGGGAAACTATGAATTTCTATAATAGGAAAATGGGGGATATCACCGGGATATAAACGGATATACACATATACTAAATAACTTGATATGAAATTTGGGATTGTCCAGAATTTGGGTAGACCCCCCAAAGGTATTTAATGTTAATGGGGAAAATTGTTATATATATATCATTTTGTTCAATTTTGGGGCATCCTATTTTTCAGACAAACCCATGTGGCAAATAGCGCGGCAGTGCCTCTGCCCAGTGTGCTCAATAGCCATGCAGGTGAAGTCCACATTTTGTCTGGTTAAATCCACGTTGCCACTGGAACAATCCACAACTTTGGCAGGTTAAAATCAACTCTTCGCTGGTTGAATTGAATTCGTTTACGGTGGTTGTTGTTCATTGTTGGTCAAATCCACATTGTCGCTGGTGAACGTTTGCCAATATTTAAATCAGCAGGTCGCATGGTTTATGTTGGTTTATGCTGGTGAAATCATTATATATTTTCATGGATAAATCACGATCATTTTTTTCATATCATATTTTCCCCCTGGATTTGTGGATAAAAACATATGTATAGTGGATTGGTTAAATACGGATTATCCATATATGGTAAATCTTAGATTTTTGGTTAAATCATTATCTTCCATATATGTTTGCTGGTTGTACCATGATTTCTGGCATATTTTGGCTGCTAAAACTGGCCATGATTTCTGTCTCGGTTTAGGCCGAGGCTGCCTTGATGGCCCTCGTAGAGATGATCCGAGCGCCGTGGTGAAGAGATGGGCGGGGGGGAAGCACGGGTAGAATAAAGATAGGTATAGATCTGGGTATATGATATAGATATATAATATGGGTATAAAATATGATATAATGAGTATACTATTTTTTCACCCATATCTGTATATTATGGTTAGATTGTGTAGTAAATAAATAGTTAGCCATATTGAGCCATAGTTCACACCCACTGGATAGTAACAATTCTACGAAATTAATCTTGGTCATCAAACGTGATGATCCTTTTGCAAATTAGTAGTTTAGTTCCTTGGATTTTTATATCGTATAATACATCATTCATATTATGGTGATCACCACTTTGCGATCAATGTGTTCCTTTTTGTTACTATTATAGTGTTACGAAAATCTATTGATAACATTGAAGTTCTACAGTTGTTTTTCAGAGAAATTATTTCAGTACATGTTAACATATTATATGTTTACGAAACAAAACAATTTGTATAAATTGTGGTTGCCCTTTTTTTCCTATTTATTGTCAAGTCATGGTAAAATTTGTCTCACAACGGAATGGATCAACATCAACATGGGGGTAGAACCACCAAAAAGCAACACCAGGTTGGATCATACCGTATACAATCAAACAGAGGAAATTATTTGGTTTGATCACTTTTTTATGTTCGCTGGTATATACCATCAAACCATACAAACGGAGTATACCATATTATACCATCAAAGATGTGATTTTTTATAGCCAAATAGGGAGTTCACCATCAGACACAACGGGACGTAACCATGAAATACTGGGTGATTTAAGCAACAGGAAGAGGGGATTTCATCGACAGAAATGGACATTTAAGTTATTTAACAACGGTTGTGATTTATTCGGATAAAGATGGTGATTTCTCCATTATATAGACATATAAGGACCAATAACGATAAATGACTCTCGGGTACCCCCATTTGTTGGCCAGAAAAAGTAGGAATTGACCATGGGGCCCACTGGGCCTCCTGAGGGCCTCGGGGCATGTTGGATGTTTTACAAGGCTAGCGGCTAGTTTTGATATACTGACTTCTTTGAATCTGTTTCATTCTTTGGTGTGTCAACTCTGAGTGACTGCTGATAGAGGGGTAGTTTGCCATGTTTATCTAGTTTACAATCATATAGGTCAATGATATTGAATTCTCTATGACTCTATGCTTGATGGTACACCAAACTGCAGTGTCAGAAACAGAAATTTGCTGTACCGGGCCATCTTCGTATCCCATCCGGTTGTCAAATCCCAATGGTTCTCATTAACAATTAGATTAAAATCTAATTTACTAAATGAATGTTTGATGTATTGGTTTTACCAGACAGTTAGCGAGTCACATCGTCATACCCTCACTATTCCACCATTTGTTCTGCTTACATCTCCATTTTGGATGGTGACATAACTATTGTGCAGAGTGTTCTATCACTATTGTTCATAGTTAAGTCATGTTAAGTCACCATTGTTCATAATTAGTGATAAAATAATATGATGTCATAAAAATTAGATTTTATTTTTAATCACTATCATACTTGTATATAATTGTCCCAATTGCTAATTATGAGTTATTTCAATCTCCATTTTCCCATTTGGAGGTTTCCTAAAATGGTGGTACACCCAAATCATCCATTTTAACAGGCTTTTCCATTATAAACTATCTATCTGGGGATACCTCCATTTTCCCGTCGCACCCCAGGTTCAATACGATGTGAGGCGCGTCAGCCTCTGTGGCTCCTCAATGGGCGCCTACGGGGCCCTGGAACTGGCATCCCGCAGAGCGTGCCTAGGGCCGTCGTGCTAAGATTGACTACTGCAATGGGAATGTTGGGAGATAATATTGGGATATGATGGGAATGGGAATATAATGGGAATGGGAATATGCAGTGTGAATATTTATTTATATATATAATGTTTGCGTCTGATTAGTGTGAGGGGCCCCCCCCCAAACAATTTGAGGATACTCTATAACTCGCACTTTTTTTGCCCCCCCTCAACATTTTTTTGGTCAATCAACTTAAGAAAGGATTGCAATTTACTTTCAATTGATTTCAATTTACTTTTAATTAATTAATTAATTTACTTTCAATTGATTTCAATTTACTTCTAATTTTCTTTCAATTGATTTCAATTTACTTTTAATTTACTTTCAATTGATTTCAATTTACTTTCAATTGATTTCAATTTACTTTTAATTTACTTTTAATTTACTTTCAATTGATTTCAAATTACTTTTAATTTACTTTCATTTTTTTTTCACTCCCAAAAGTTGGTGCTCACAATAGAGTACCATCCAAACAATTATATTATTGAGTAACTGAGCCAATCATGAGGTATCCCCTTGAAAAATTGTCTGGATGTTGTTTTTTAATAAGGGTTTAATAAGCATCTAATTACTTGGGAAACCTTGCATTTTAAAGTTTTAACAAAAATATGGTTTTCTAAAGTGAAAGGGCCAGCTTTACCCAAAGAAAGGTGGAGAAAGGGTTTTGTTTTTTTTCACTCCCAAAAGTTGGTGCTCACAATAGAGTACCATCCAAACAATTATATTATTGAGTAACTGAGCCAATCATGAGGTATCCCCTTGAAAAATTGTCTGGGTGCTGTTTTTTAATAAGGGTTTAATAAGGCATCTAATTATTTGGAAAACCTTGCATTTTAAAGCTTTAACACAAATATGGCTTTCTAAAGTAAAGGCACCAGCTTTACCCAAAGAAAGGTGGAGAAAGGGTTTTGCTTTTTTTTTTTCACTCCCAAAAGTTGGTGCTCACAATAGAGTACCATCCAAACAATTATATTATTGAGTAACTGAGCCAATCATGAGGTATCCCCTTGAAAAATTGTCTGGGTGCTGTTTTTTAATAAGGGTTTAATAAGGCATCTAATTATTTGGGAAACCTTGCATTTTAAAGCTTTAACACAAATATGGCTTTCTAAAGTAAAGGCATCAGCTTTACCCAAAGAAAGGTGGAGAAAGGTTTTTTTTTGTCACTTCCAAAAGTTGGTGCTCACAATAGAGTACCATCCAAACAATTATATTATTCAGTAACTGGGCCAATTATGGTTTTTTCAGGTATCTAATTATTTGGAAAACCTTGCATTTTAAAGTTTTAACACAAATATGGCTTTCTAAAGTAAAGGCACCAGCTTTACCCAAAGAAAGGTGGAGAAAGGGTTTTGTTTTTTTTTCAATCCCAAAAGTTGGTGCTCACAATAGAGTGCCATCCAAACAATTATATTATTGAGTAACTGAGCCAATCATGAGGTATCCCCTTTGAAAAATTGTCTGGGTGCTGTTGTTTAATAAGGGTTTAATAAGGCATCTAATTATTTGGAAAACCTTGCATTTTAAAGCTTTAACACAAATATGGCTTTCTAAAGTGAAAGGGCCAGCTTTACCCAAAGAAAGGTGGAGAAAGGGTTTTGTTTTTTTTTCAATCCCAAAAGTTGGTGCTCACAATAGAGTACCATCCAAACAATTATATTATTGAGTAACTGAGCCACTCATGAGGTACCCCTTTGAAAAATTGTCTGGATGCTGTTTTTTAATAAGGGTTCAATAAGGCATTTAAAATAAAATTAAAAATCTAATAAACATAAATAATTAGAAAAAATATTTTTTTTAAAAAAAATAAAGCATTTGGAAAAAGAACATGAAAAAAAATCTGGAAAAAAATCTCATCTGGAAAAAATCTCACAATAGAGTTCCCCCCCAACAATTTGCATGTGACTGAATTAGGAGCAAGAAATTTCTCACAATAGGGTACCAGGACACTAATCGGGTGCAAACATTATATATATAGCAAATCTTGCTGAAATGGTAATATCCGAATTTCATAGGGATTGGTCGGGCGTCAAAAGGGAATATGGGGATTGGAAAACATATTCACCAATAACCGACAAGATTAGAGAATTAATTAGGGAATCAACCCACAAAAATTGGAGGTTTACCTGAAAATAGATAGAAGTTGAGGTGTAAACACCAAATTGTGTTTTAACCCACAAGAATTGGATATAGTGAGATAGAAAGAAGCCTTGGTGAAGGGTCATTCTGCCACCATTTGCCTTCGATGGGGGTACCGACAAGCTGAAAACTGCTTGGTGGTTTCCATGAAGTTCACAGCCCCATCAGGTTCTGTTCAAATAGCCGAAGCAGCCAAAAAGCATGCAGAGTAGGTGTATCATGCAAGCAGCTATAACATCCTATAACTGACTATAACTATAGTTTATATGACGATAACCTGTAAACAACTCTGGGAATATGTAAAGGGAAAGAATGTACACCCAACTCTGGGAACATCTGAGTAGACTAAGTAGTAGACCTGGATGAAACGGTTTAATGTTTGCATCTAAAGAAAGGACAACCCAATGCCGTTGTGTGCTCCTAACTCCGACAATAAACCGACAATATTATGTTCGATGTACCTTTAAGATTCTTTAAGAGGGTCATCTGTGGGATAGATATCCATTGGGACTTAGGACTAAAATCACCAGAATGATTCCTAACAAAAGAACCATTTGAAATCATTTGCATTTGCCGGCGCTAGTGGTGTAGTAAGTCGCTTTATCGTCCCCATTTCCGAACATGGCAATTTCGGTGCAGACCCCACATATTTGGAAAAACATATTATATATTGTTAATTTAGTTTCGCAGTAACTTTTATAGTCGTTTAGTGCATATATATATATATATATATATATCCTTGTGATACTGTATCCCGATATTGTTCATTTGTCTACTCGCGTTTCTTGACAACAAACCCTTCTACTGGCCTGAGGAATTACTTCTCTGCAGTTGCCCTAATTGCGGCACATTACGATCTCGATCCCATCGAGCCTCTGGTCACAAGGCTGGTGAGTGATTGTTCTACCATCAGGCTGCATTGGGATGAGTGTATCATTACTTTCGACTCGAACTATCTATCTTTCTATCTTTCTATCTCTGTCTATCTTTGTCTATCTCTGTCTATATCAGTCTATCTATTTTTCGATCTGTTTGTCTTATGTGAACAGTTTTATGGTGTTCTTGTGTAATATGTTCATATCTGTTTTTTTCCTGTTATCGGTCTTATCCAATGTCTTCCAATTTTATCTTTTCCCGTCCTATCCGTGTATCTATGTTGCTCGATCTGTGTATCTACTTGTTTGTCTGTTTGTCTGTCTATTGTTCGGGATAACCATGTATAACTAGATATAATCACTCAGTATAGGATGTCCTTATCAAGTACAATTTTGATGTGCAGAACAAATCAAGAGTATGAAGTACACTATGCTTTGAAAATTGTTCGCTCGCCCATCACCTCCCATTAAAACTACAATGAATGTATGCTTCCAAGAAGGGCACATTTGTGGGTCACGGTGCATTCCAAAGGTGAAACATGCCAACAGATGTAGAGTTGTTGCTGGACAACAAGCCCCTTCCCCCTAATATTAAACACCCCCAGAAACCATAGTTTAGTGGGGGAATTTACACATTTGGGACCATTGGCCGGCTGTTTAATATTAGGCAGATGGGATCAATAATTTACGCTCTGGAAATTACTTTTTGTTTTCCTTTGACTGGTGAGCAAGTGGATTGCAGCCCCTAAATAGCTGGGAGATTTGGCACATCGGCAGCCCTCAAATATGTGGCTTACTTCAGAGAAATCTGATCTATAGGCTTTGAAACTTGAAATTCTAAAAGTTATAACTTCTTTTTTCGTGCAGTAGTTTTCAAAACCATCATAGTGTATTATATCAGAACACTTTTTGGGTGGAATATCACGTTATACAACAACGTCTATGGTTGGCCGGCCCAAGAAGTATGCTAATTGTGCAGGCTGACGGAGAAGCAGGAGGTGCCTTTGTGGTTCATCCATGCTGAGAACGACAACGTTTGTCCTTTCGAGGATATGGAAGAACTTATGCGCCGCTTGAAGCTTGGGTGATATGAACGTTGGGTCACTCAATGGGGTCCCCCCTGTTTTTATTCTATGTATACGGTACATTACAGTACCCTTTTGCATTTATGTAGTATTATAAAGTGTTATACATATATATATACATACATATATCTATATAATGATATTGATGTACATATGTATAATAATGTGTGTGTTATGCGCGCTGTACATATTTCAATAACAGAGTTGTAACAATGGGTGTTTACCAATCACTGTCCGAGATTCACATTCGTCTACCGGGGGGTCAAAGGGCTGGCCTGTGGCTGTTTGGAAAACTAATATCTCCGGGATGATGTCCTTGCTAGAGGATTATGTAACCTTCTTATTTCAAGAACCAAATTTGTACTCTAGACTTTGGCCTAAATATATTTAAATATAGTAAAAGTATGTAAAAGTAAATGGAACATTATATACATGTATACTCTAGCTTAAATATGCTAAACGGATGTAGATAGCACTGGGCCGGTCCCTTTCTCTGTTCTATTAAAACAACAAAAACATCATGGCAAAACCCCTGCGAACAAATGATACTTCATTGTGGCAAAGAAGAATAATACATTTTCAGGTTCTAACCATAAACCAGCAAATCTAAGAAACATTGGTGGGCACCAGCAAGCAGATCTATGATACCAACTAGGAAATCTGCTTCGAAGGGGGACCGGGACCCGAACAATTAGATTGATTACGACTGCAAGCGGCGTTACGCCATAACTTGTCAGAAAGTATCACAAAAGGCCATAACTCGGCCAGAACATAGTTGTTCGAACCCAACGTCCATTCACCAAGGAAAGCTCGCAGCAGGGCGGAAGTTCACATGACATCCTTCGAGGATGGGGGGAGGGCTGGAGATGATGCGATCGTACCTATCCCGTGTAACGCTAAAACGTCAGTGTGTGGTGTTTGTCGAAAAAGGGGAATAGAAGAACAGCTCTTTAGAATATTATGTATCCAGGACTGCTTTGGAGCAATGGTCTGAGAAATGGTCTGGACATGTTTTCCCTTGTCGCAGGGCAAATTCCCATGCTGATGCTGCTGCCGCTGCTGCTGATGATGATGATGATGCTGGTGGTGGTGGTGATGATGATATCCACGTTTGTAATAATTGTGATGACGACAACGATGACGGTAATGATGTGTTCTGCGTATGTATACGTTTATTATCATCTATCACAATGGGCATCATTCTTATTTTTGCTTCACATGTTATTTGTGTTTGAATCATGTTTCCAGGGTTTTGTTAGCTCTTTTTCCCTGTGCAACCATTCACAGTTTCATGTATTGTCGTCCGTGCTTCCAAGTTATCCTGTCATCCCTGCTTACACCAAAGTGGCATCTAAAAAAGTTTCCGGGTGCTGTGTGTTTTTTTTCAGTGCGCTTGTTGGTAAAAACTGAAATGTGTCTCAACGGTTAATCAAACAAATCTCAACAAACAAGTCAGGGGGCTATTCTGAAATGTGCGCCTGTAGCGCACCATTTGCATTTCTGAGGCTGTCTTCGTTGGTAAACGACCTTAACCTTTATACAGTTGTAGATTCAAATCCAAGTGTTTCCTGGTCATTGCATCCTAAACTCCATTTTTTTTTGTTCAAACACAAAATGGGATTAGAATATGAATATCTAGTCATATATATATAGATACATGAATCACCATTTTTGCGTGAAATCCCACTGGTTCCTGGTGATGTCAGGACACGTGGAGTAGCCAGGGCCACTGCGCGGACTGTGTGGCCTTCTGGGCCCGACCGGTGGTGCCTTTGGCGAGTTTATCTATGGACAGAAAAATAGTAAATGAGAGATAAATAGTATAAAAGTATTCATTTAAATAGGCTATAAATAGTTTAATTATAGTGAAATGATAGTTTATGCACATATATGACTATTATTATTATTAAAACTATATCAATGTTATATCCATGTTATTTTACTATCTTTATTTTACTATGGCCAGATATTACTAAAAAACATAACATAAAATAGTCATAGATAAAAAAAGAACTATAGTTATACAAAAAGTAAATGACCATGAAATAGTAAATGACTATGCACCTATATAGATAGTAAATAGTATAAATGACATGATGGCTATAGTGATGTAAATGATAGACCACTGAAATGTGCTTTAAAAGCCAATGCCAATCTGAATGATTTTCGATACCATTGGATGAAATGATGAGGATAGCCTATTCTCAGACAAACTGAACTGGTGCAGGGCTGTTAGGCTGTTAATGCACCAAAGATTGATAAATGTGGATCTATACATCCTATACATATGCAGCTGAAACTCAACGTGTTTTTCCTGTTATATGTCAATATGGGAAACCCAATGCCATAAACCGACCATTTGGAGATGTTTTAAACCCATTCATGGTGATTTTTGGCATTGGGTTTACTGCATTACGCAAAAATGGGTGGATAAAATTGTCACGACTGAAATAAATGACAAGTCTGGCTTGGAAATAAATATGGTTTATGCTTTGACTCTATGACATGATTAATTGATATATAGTATATATATATATATTTTGTTAAATGTACATTTATGTAAACAATATTTTTGGATACCCCTTTAGATATGTAACATTCACTTAGTTGATGTTCCATTTAGAACAACCATCCTGTAATCCAATATTTTGGTGTAAATAACAATCGATCATTAATCACTGTATTATATATAATTGGTTTATACAGTCCCAAATGCAGGTTTGAACCTATAATGATGTATGATCAATAAATATACAACCAGATATTGAACAATGGTAATCCACTATTGTATTAAACATTACCCTAGGGCAAACCAACAGAGACTATAGATGTGGAAAACCCATGGTTTCCTTATGAAAACAATCTACAAATATGTTTTTGATTTTCCACATCTATGTCAGTTTACCCCAGGGTATATAATAATGATAGATGGCTAATCCCTTCCTCCTAATACTAAACCCCCCCCCCTAATACAAAACACGGCAGGTAGTTTTTAGTATTAGGGGGGTATTTATTATTAGGGAACCAAATCGAAGTCATGTTAATTAATTAATTAAATTTCCTTATATAACGCAATTAAAATATTGCCAAAAATGGCAGTTCGAAGCTTACCCCTAATACTAAATAAAAACCCTTAATACTAAAAACATCTAAAAACTATTTTTTCCGATCTCAAAATCAATTAAATTTCCTTATATAACGCAATTAAAATATTGCCAAAAATGGCAGTTCGAAGCTTACCCCTAATACTAAATTAAAACCCTTAATACTAAAAACTATTTTTTCCGATCTCAAAATCAATTAAATTTCCTTATATAACGCAATTAAAATATTGCCAAAAATGGCAGTTCGAAGCTTACCCCTAATACTAAATTAAAACCCTTAATACTAAAAACTATTTTTTCCGATCTCAAAATCAATTAAATTTCCTTATATAACGCAATTAAAATATTGCCAAAAATGGCAGTTCGAAGCTTACCCCTAATACTAAATTAAAACCCTTAATACTAAAAACTATTTTTTCCGATCTCAAAATCAATTAAATTTCCTTATATAACGCAATTAAAATATTGCCAAAAATGGCAGTTCGAAGCTTACCCCTAATTGCTAGAGTAGCCAGGCAGCTTGGAGTGAGGGATTGGGACTAGGCCCCCCTAATACTAAACACCCCGGGGTGAACTAGTTTTTAGTATTAGGGGGGAGAACCCACAAATGGTAGGTTGATTTTTAAATTGTTTTTTAAAGGGGATCAATTAAAAGTCAAATTGGCCAAACTGAAATTTTCGGAAATTGGAGATGGATGCCTGTTTTTAGTATTAGGGGGACGTTTAGTATTAGGAGGAAGGGATTATGAATCAATACCTATAAATACAATTCATAGGGGACGAACATCCATGAATCCCAGCTATTTTGGTGTGAACTGCAGGGCTACAGGGTTTTGACCCATATCCAGATACTGATATATAATAAATATATATATATACATAGATGTGGAATATCTAATGTGGAGATAAATTTCTATTGATGTACACTATATATTATATATTTCTATATATATCATCTATATTTTCTATAGATATATCTCCAGACAGGATCGATACATCTATAGAAATATATTCTATATAAATGTACACGAACATCTATTATATAAATTACATATATGTATCATATACTGTTGGTCATATATCCCTATTATATTCCCATTGTTCTTGGTTTATACCCTATTAACCACTATTATTAATCACTATTATATAACCACTATTAACCATCATTGTTTTATCATAAAATATTGGTTCATAGTGATTAATAGTGATTAATAGTGGTTAATACTGACTATAACCACTATTAACCATCATTGTTTTATCACCAAAAAATGTTGGTTCATAGTGATTAATAGTGGTTTATAGTGAGATATAATATTGTTAAACATCAGTCTGTATAGATTTCCAAGAGAGTCTTGCAAGGTGCCAGGCGCGTTGGCCCTCGGGGAAGAGCTCTTCGATTGGCTCACAGGTGAGGAGATGTGGACCCTGTGAGTTTGCTATCGAGAATGGGGATTTAGCCATGGAAAATGGTCATTTAGCCATGGAAAATGGTCATTTAGCCATGGAAAATGGTGAATTTAGCCATGGAAAATGGTGAATTTACCAGTGATTTTACCATGGAAAATGACGATTTTACCATGGACATATTTTACCAAAAATAATGGATATTTATCCATGGCAAATGTGAATTTTATATTTAAGCATCCAAACAATTGTAGTTTAATGATCAAACATTGGAAGTGAAGCATCCAAACATGGATTTTATGTTATGATTTAACCATCAAAGGGATGTTCAATAGATTGGTTTATGGGACATGTTGCCGGAAACCATTGTTTTTGTTGGCTGGAAAATCAACGGTTTCCGTCTCAACGTTTCCAGAATTTTCCAGCCGACGGGGAAGAGCCAGAGTTCGTTGAGTCTTTCCCGCCAGGGGGATGCCACAATTCCAAACATACCCTCTGGTTATTTAACATGGCCATGGAACATGGCCCATAGAAATAGATGGTTTACCTATTAAAAATGGTGATTTTCCATGGCTATGTTAGTCATAACCAGATGGTATAAATCTCGTGGTCAGTGAAGTCTGAAGATCCGATGGTTGGTTTGGATAGTGGACCCCGACCATAGCTTGTGAGTCTGGGATTTTCTGGACATGTGTCTCCTTTGGATGGACTGGGGAGTCTGATGTAATCCAATCCTTAGGATGTCCCGGTTTGAACAAAGGATGCACGGATGATCTCAGTGATTCTGGCATATACCGGGTATAGCCATGTCAAAGAACTGATGCCCAACTAGTTTTTTTGTTCATCATCATGTTATTGTTGTTTTGAAAGGTGAAGTTACATGTTTGAAACCAAACAGAGCATAGCCAAATCATCCCACAGATGGAAGCCATTTGAGCCCCCGGCAACCTTTCCCAGCTTTGCGCTGAGGCAACTCCAACCATTTCGACGTGCGTTGAAAGTGCTACAAGCTGAATCGGAAACGTGCATCTATTTGACTGGAATATCGATTCTCTGATGTTTTAGAAAAAAATCAAGATTTGATGTTATAGAATCTGGATTCTCCAATGTTTTTGGTTATTATTGACTGACTCGGGACTGCTTCAGCGCTATTGGTTCATAGTTGTGGTTGCCACAATGAAAAAACGCTGGCGCCATTGCGCTGGCGGATGCCATGATTTCGTACCACCAGATGGCGCCATCGTGGCAACAAAGATGGGTTCGTGCAAGCACCTGGTTCAGTTGTGGTTAGTAAGGGGAATCATCCCAAATGGCTGACCTGTTCAGGTTGGTGACATAATGTGTTTTATTCGGGAACACGCGTGGAATGTCTGAGTTGAAACTAAACCCTTCTGAGTTTCGCAATGATAGGTCCTGCCATGGTCATGCTGTTTGAGTTAACAAAGCCTCAACCCGCGGGCATCTATGACTTTTGTGGGATAAGACTGGACGATGTCCGCACATTTTTTTGCTGGTATTCTTGGTGTTGGTTGTTGGAATGAATATCCCAACGTTGTCGATGTTCTTGCTGACATTGTTGTTGCTCTTCTTGTTGTCGTTATTTTGTTTCTTATTTTTACGATTATTCTTCTTCCTGTTCCTGTTCCTGTTGTTGTTGGCGTTGTTGTTGTTGTTGTTGGTGGTGGTGGTGGTGGTGTTGTTGGCTATTGGCTATTGGCTGTTGGCTGTTGGCTGTTGGCCGTGGGTTGGTTGTTGCTTGTTGGTTGTTGCTTGTTGGTTGTTCGTGTTGTTCGCTGTTGGCTGCTGGCTGTTGGCTGTTGGTTGTTGGCTGTTGGTTGTTGGCTGTGGGTTGTTTGTTGGTTGTTGCTTGTTGCTTGTTGCTTGTTGGTTGTTGGTTGTTGTTTATGCTTGTTGTTGTTGCTGCTGTTGCTGTTGCTCTTGCTTGGAGATTTTAGTTGGTCACATACCGGTTCTAGCCTTTCTTTTAAACCTTTGGTATCCATGACTAGCAACTGGGATTCATCCCAGGATATCCCAGTGTATTCCAGGCATAAGGAGTTGTATCATGTTGTACGTACCACCCCAATGGATGGCTCTTGACCAATGCATTGTCTATCGGAGTCTGCGTCCGCTGGAGGCCATGGGTCAAGCCATGCAGCATGACTCGCTGCAACGCTGCGCTGAGGCCGGGAGATCGCTGAGATCGCAGGAGATCCTGAGTCTTTTGTGAATGTTCCTGTTCCTGTCATCATCATCATCATCATCATCATCATCATCACCATAGTTTATGTTTCACAACATAATCATCA